ATACATTTTCAATGGAAAACAGTACAGCATGAGCAGAGGTCTAAAGAGTAACCTCCAGATCTGACCTCAGTATGGTGATGGCATACTTAAAAGATGTGAGAGGAGTCAGAGAGAGGAGATCTGAGATTAGAGAGAGAAATAAGAACCTGGCAAAAATGAAGCTTCAAGGAAGAAGGATGATCAACATAAACATGGTCTATTTAAGAGTGCACTCCACTCTGCACTTTGGCAGGTAAATTACAGTAATGTTCATTTTGGCAACAACCTAGGTAGTGCACTGTGAGTTATAAAGTGCTTTTAAATGGATTATAGATATTTCTTAAATAGGAGTTTCTAAAATACCTGCCTTAGTAAATATGACTACGAGTTTTCTCTCTTCCAATTTCTCTATCATAAATTAGGGACCACTTTACTTCAAGTTTAATAAGTTCCTTTCACATCTTCACTTGAAGGAGGGTGATTTCTGCAATCCTAGCATGATTAAATGGGAAAGGTACATCGAGGTAACATGATGTGTCTGGCCCACCTTAGTCAATGCTGCAGCTGCAACATTCTGATTTTTGTTTCTTAAAGCAAAATCGAAAACAAAACTAAACATTGACTCAGATTTTAAGGAATAATTCTTGAAAAATAAAATTAAAACAAGTTAAATCAGTGAGTCTCTTCTATTGAAATATTTCATTTAGGGATCTATACTATGATGACTGTGGAAGTGATGGCTGAACTCTTAAGAAACTTGTTTATCTCTAATAATAATACCCAACAAAGGAAAAACTGTAATCAGGAAAGAGTGTGTACAAAAGATGGCAGTTTTTTTCATTTTGTCAATTTAAAAATATTATAACAAGTAAGCACAGCTCCCATTTAAAAAGGGCTTTTAAAAAGCAATGTTAGGTTTGGGGACATAGTTCAGTAGTTGAGCACTTGTCTAACATATGCGAGGCCCTTTTTAGTTAGTTTTTTTGCTGCTGTGAGAAGACCTGACCAGAACAATTTTAGAAGGAAAATTTTACTTAGGGACTTATAGTTTTAGAGATCTGTCTATAGATGGCAAACTCCATTCCTGAGGTGAGGCAGAACATCATGGCAGAAGAGAGACGTGGAGGAAAGCAGCTCAAGACATGGCACCAGGAAGCAGAAAGAGACTCCATTCAAGGGACAAAATACATACCCCACCCCAAAAGCACACCCCTAATGACCTACTCCTCCAGCCACACCCTACCCACCTTCAGTTGCCACTCAGCTAATTCCTATCAGGGGATTAATTCACTGATTGGGTTAAGGTTCTCATAACCCTTCACTCTACCTCTGAAACTGTGAGTCCCCAAATAAGCTTTTCCTCCTCTAAAATTGTTCTTTTGGTCACAGTAACATGACAGCTGTCTAAAATAATCCCTGAATTCAATTCCTAGCATGGAAAAACAAAACAAAACAAACAAAAACAGCCAAAAAAAATCATCCAGTAATTAACTGGAATAATAACTAAAAGGAAGTTTGGACTAGTTTCTTAAATCTCCTTGTTGTTTCAAACACCCTAGATAGGAAGTCAGGGGGTCCAACAAATTCATGTTAGGAAAATAAAAATAAAAAAAAACCTAAAACCACAATGCAATTTAAGCAGGCCAATATTTTAAATCTTCTCCTCTGTACAGGAGACCCTTTCACAGGCTGGTTCTTGGTTTCCACTTCTAAACTGACTCAAGAAAATGCCCATCTGCGCTCAGTTCCAGGCACATGACCTCTACAGGCCAAGGAAAGGAAGAAGAGGATGCAAATCACTAATGATGCAGACCTGGGAGTTTCTACAGAACTGGAGAGTGCCTAGAAACCAACTGGTCTAACATGTCATGTTTCACAAATGAAGAGATAGAGGCCCACAGAGAAATGCTGTGTTTGAATCAACACAAGTAAATATCAGAGGCTGGATTTGAATCCAGGTGTCTTCCCTCTCTGCCAAACCCTTTTTATCCTGCTAGAAAGGGAGTTTGGGAGAAAGCAGAACACCAGGACATCCTCTTCCCAATAATGAAGTGGAATGTGTTTGTTTTAATACACGTTCCTTCAGGGACATAAAAATTCAGCCACTCTGCTTTAGTAGAGTCCACTCAGGTAAGTATAGCTGAATTCTGAAAACAGATTCTCATACATTAAGCTGGAGTTTATGGAAACATCTGTAGGAGTCAATATAGTATTATATTCACCTTACCTGCAATTTTGCTTTCCACAGTTTTAGTTACCCACTGTGAGCCCTGAGCCAAAATATTAAATCGAAAATTCTGGAAACAAACAATAAGTTTGTATATAGCATGATGAAATCTCCTACTATCCTATTCTATCCTGATCAGGACATAAATTATCCCTTTGTCCAACATAATCCCACTATGTATGCCCATCAGTTACTTAATGGACATCTTAGTTACCAGATTAACGTTGCAGTATCACAGTGCTATTATCAAAGCAATCATTATTAATAATGATCTCAAAGTGCAAGGGTAGTAATGCTGGCAATGTGAGTTGCCAAAGAGAAGCTAGAGAGAGACTTTAATGGGAAAGATGAAGTACATTAAAATATTTTGAGCAAGAAAGAGATAACATTCACCTAATTTTCATTATGGCATGTTGTTGTAATTGTTTTATTTTATCATTATTGATTTTAATCTTTTACTAAGCCAATTTATAAATAAAACTTTAACCTGGGTATATATATAGATATATATAAAATGAAAAAACATAGTGTACACAGATGTTCCTTGATTATGATGGAGTTACACTCTAGAAAACCCCATGGTAAGTTTAAAATATGGTAAGTTGAAAATGTATTGAATACTCCTAGCCTACTCTGGATCATCATAGCTCAGCCATCAGTCAACTCCCCATGGAATTGAGGGGCTGACTGGGAGCTGGGGCTCACTGCTGCTGCCCTGCATTATGAGAGAATATCATAGTGCATACCACCAGTCTGGGAAAAGATCAAAATTCAAAATTTGAAGTATAGCTTCTATTGAATGCATTATTTCTTAAGGTAAAAAAATTGTGAGTCCAAATATTGTAATTTGGGAACTGCCTACCAGGGTTTGGTGCTACCCAAGGTTTTAGGCATCTACTGGGGATCTTGGAATGCACTGCTCATGAATAAAGAGGACCACTGTAAAACATTCCATCCCTTGTAGATAGTGTATGCTTGCAATTCAAGACAACTGGTCACATGTGTTACCTACTTGTGGTTGTCACTTATATACAGAGAACTTTTATAAGAAGCTAAGAAAAAGACGACTGTGTGGAGACTTTAATACTGGATTCCCAGGTAGGTGAAGAGACGAGAGCCTAATGAAGAGTACAAGATACGATTTCTTAGGATGCCATCTACTTCTGTAACATCAAAGTCACAGAAAATTATGTCTTTCCATCAATTTTTTCTACTAACCTGACATTATAGTTAGTATTCCAGCATTATTTAACCTCTCACTAAAATGATTTAGTCTTATTATTTTTAATGACTATTTATTAATATTTTTAATGGTTGTTTATTATACTTCCCCCTTTGGGTGACATATGGAAGAATTCAGGAGTTGAAGGACAGGAGATTTGGAAACACTCAAGATACAATCAGAAGTTAGCTTCCAAGAATCTGCCTTTCAAGCCAGGTGCAGTGGTACACACCTGAAATCCAGATACTCAGGAGGCTTAGAGAGGATTGCAAATTCAAGGTCTATCAGAGCAACTTAGTAAGATCCTGTTTTGAAAATTTAAAAATGGGGTGGGAAGGTGCTGGGGGCTGGGGATGTAGCTTGGAGGGAGATCACTATTGGGTTCAATCCCAAGTACAAAAAAAAAAAAAAAGGAAAGAAAGACACTGCTGGTCATCTTCATTTTAAGAGGCTTTGGTATCTGTGTTTGCTAATGCAATATGCTGATGATATTTAAAATATTCCTACCTAACCTAAATATCAAAAGAAAAGGCAAACCCAAGCAGAATCTACAGTCATTTATGTGATATGATAACAATGTGTAATAGGCACAAATGGCTATTTCATGCATTTGTATTATTTTCCAAAAAATGTTAAGTCCTTGAAGTAAGGTCTTTGTTTTTAGTTACCATTTCTCCCTAGGATCTAGCCAAGGGTGGTGTATGTATAGTAAGAAGTTCATCAATATTTCTTGAGTAAAGCAGTTTACAACTGGCTCTCCATATTCACAAGTTCTGCATTTGTGCATTCAACAAACCACGGATCAAAAACATCTAGAGAAAAACTGCATCTGTGGTGAGCATATATAGGCTTTTTTCTTGTCATTATTCCTTCTTTATTTTTTTGTCTTGTCATTATTCATTAAACAATATAGTATAACAACTATTTATTTACATTGTATTAGATATTAAAAGTAATCTGAAGATGATTTAAAGTATGAGGAGGATGTGTATAGGTCAAATGAAAATGTGAGGCCATTTTATATAAAAGTTTTGAGCATCCATAAATTTTGGTATCAACAGGGAGTCCTGAAATCAATCCCCCATAAATATAGAGTAACAACTGTGTTTAGTACAGATTCGTTAAAGAATGGGTGAGGAGAGTCAGTTATTTTACAAGGTAGTTGCATTAATCAAAACAAGACTTAGTTTAGTTTAGTAAAAGCAGGTCAGATACTGGTGTAAGTTTCTTTCATAAAGGCAGGAAGGCCAAGAAGACAGCTTATTTATTTGTAGTTTATACTAGGTAGCAATCCCACCCCTAACTCCCTGCCATGGGTGCTGGTGACAATGGTTTGTTCCTGGGTTAGAACACCAGGAACAAATCTATATGGAATAGCCATCAAGTGGAGGTTAGGCCCTCATATTTCACTGCAGTCTTAGTCTGGTGAAGAGAGAGTGGTGAACAGAGAGGGAAGATGACATGGCCACAAGAAAATCAAATTCTCTCCTGACTTACTCTCCTGATACCACGCCCACCTCCTTCCACCCTGATTCTGATCTGTGAGAACAAAATCTCCATGCTCACACTTACTTAGCTGCAGCATCTTTTCTCAGCTGCTCATGCTTCATAAGGAGATTCTTCCGGTCTCGAAAAGCTTTTCTGACCTTGTATCCTTTGTAGACAGCTTGGATTTTGAAGGCGGCAATATCTTGTATGGCTGCAATGGACAAGGCCCCATGCTCCAAAAGGAACTGGATTACTTCATGGCGCTCACCAAGCAAAGCATAATCAAGAGGTGTGTACCTGATGCAGGAGGAAGAGTTGTTTTTTGTTTGTTAACAAAATGAATTCAAGGTACTGGTACACAGATAATATTCTCATGCAGCAAAATGAATCATTCTAAGATGCAGAATATTCTCTGGGCAAAGTCACTATCTCTACTCCAAGGCTATTCCTTTTTCTTCTGAGGGATATAAAACAAGGTTGAATATGGCTGTGGGTAAGATGCTTTGTGCTACTGACCATGCCAATTCCTGAGTTTGACTCATTGGTTCACAAAATGGTGACTATTGAGAACACAGGATCATGTTCCTTCTTTCTCATGTACCAAATAATAACTCCCATTCCTATCTGGTAAAATGCTGCAAATTATATTCTGTGAGATTCATAAATTTGAGCCCATGGTTACTGATACTTAATGCTCAAGAAATGAAAAATATACCTCCAAATGGAGAGATTTAGTATATGATAAAGATGGCCCTTTAAATCATTGTGGAAAAAATTAAAGTATTATATAAATAGTGTTGCTACAACCAGGTAGTGATCTGGGAAAAAAGAGATTCTAATATCACGTCTTATACCAAAATAAATTAGGGATGGAGCAAAGATCCCCAAAACAAAACAAACAAACAAAACAAAACAAAGGTACCAGAAGGTACCATGGAAATTTAAAAAATACTCAAGTGGGGTCTGGAGTGTAGATCAGTGGTAGAGTGCTTATGTAAGCATGCCAGAGGCTCTGGGTTCAATCCTCAGCACTTTAATGCAAAACAAAAAAAATACTAATGTGGGAAATCCTTTCTTAAAAAAAGATAAGAAAAAATCAGAAATCATAAAAGAGTGTTAAATCTGATTACATAAAATGAACAAAATTTTAGGGCTAAGACTGTGGCTCAATGACAGAGCACTTGCCTTGCAAGTATGAGGCACTGGGTTCAATCCTCAGCACCATATACAAATAAATAAAGAAATAAAAGGTAATGTGTCCATCTCCAACTAAAAAAATATTTAAAAAAATAACAAAAGTTTGCAGGGCAAAAAACATTAAGCCTTCCTGTTTTAAAGAAAATGATTACTTTATATAAATGATATGTATGTTAAAAATTCAAACAGTGAATAAAAGTACAAAGATTGAAGTAAAAGAATAATCTCTCAATGATGGTAGTGATGAATGTCATTTCTTAAACAATTTACTTGATGTTTCTAAGCCCCAGCTTTTTTTCATATATTAAACAAGTTAATATGGAGAAAGTGAAACCATGAACATAAAGAGGATTGCATTGTGCCTGACATAAAGGAAGGAGGTCTGGGAATAATAAATATTAGCTACTACTGTTAGGATCGAAGGCCCTACACTGCAGTATGGTTTGTGATACTATAGATGCTCATCATAAATATCACTTCCACAGCATCCAAACTTCTATAATGACTGCCACTGATGCCAAGTGCTCTCTGGATGACTATGACTGTAGACTGCAATCAGAAGTGTTAGGAGGAAATCATCAGCTGGTTTGTGAGGTGGAAAAAAATGATGATTATAGGGATGCATGGTTCGACTTGGAGAATTATTCAATGATTACAGAAAAAAAAAGCTCTCTTAAAAACTTACCTCACAGTCACAGTAAGACATAAAAGGAATAGGTTTTCAGAATAAGGGTGGTTTGATCGCTTCAGCAAGGAAATTTGTAAGTTCAGAATTTCTTACTGAAACCCCGAATGCTAAAATTAAGGAGCTCTCATTTTAGGAAGGCTCAATATGCTACTCCTGTTCAGGGACCAGAAGGCCATAGGTTGAGGTGCCTACATAAACTTTCAAACATTATTTATAAATAGATGGCATTTTGTAAATTCAGAAGAATTCTTAAAATTTGTATTATATATTCTAAAATTATTTTCATGGAAAAAATTAGCATAGAGTAATTGAACCACATGATAGTAAAACTAAATTCACTTTAAGAGGTCGTTAAGTTCAACACTTTCATTTTAAAAATGAGTAAACAGACCTAGCCCGGTTAATCAACTTGCTGAGGATTATGTAATCACCTTCTACAGAATGCAGACTAGAATTAAGATTACTGAACAATTCCCAGTTCAGTAATCCTTCCATAACACCTCTATCAATTATTGAATGTCTCCCAAAGAACAAAACTCCTCCTAAAATCAATGTGTAAACAACATATGTATTTAATAAGCTTGAGAATTTTCTGTAATTATTAATATGTAGTGTTCTTCATGTGGAATATAAGCAGGATTACCAAACTCTGGTTAAGAAACATAAGGCTCAAACCATGTCTTTACTTAGGAATATGACAAAAAGAAATAATGTGCAGCATAATCCCCCTAAAGAATGTTGGAGTGGGACTCAGGGGACTTTTGTGACCCTGGGAATTCTCCTAACTTCTCTGAGCTTCTATTTCTTCATTTATAAAAGGGGAGGAAAGGAAGAGAAAAGAACTAGGTTTCTTGGGCTGCTTCTGGATTGAAAACTACATATTAAATATTTTTATTATGAAAAAATAATTTTATTATGAGAAATCTCAAGCACAAAAAATAGAATAGCATAATAATCCTCTGTGTACTCAATACCGCAAATTAACAATCAGAATGACTTTTTGTTATGTTTGCTTCTTCCAATCTCTTCTTTTTTATTTTGTTGAAGTGTTTCAAAGCAAATCTTGGAACTCCTATCATTTTCATCTTCATCTCTAGTTCAATTTAGAACCATTCAAGTACTGTGAATATTCCCATCAATGTTATATTGTGACTGTCAGGTACTTATTGACTGAAAGCCAGCAGAAGTTGGTAAAAATTGTGTCTATACAATGTACATCAACTGGTTAGTGTCAATGCATGAGAAGTAAAAATTAGTACCACATTGATGGTAACCAGCCAAGAAACAATGTAGATAAAGACAAGAGATAAGACACAATTGGACCTGCCATACGGGAATGGTCTGATGGGATCAGTGGAATGCCTAAACCAGAATGTCAATAAATATAAAAGGCAGTGCCAACTTCTGACACTTGTACATCAAGGTGCATTACTAATGAAACATTAAACGAGACTGGGATATGGCCACTGTCTCTTTTTATTTACAGATTGGCAAGTATAGTTAGGAGGATTTTTCCTTTGGTTTTCTAGTCTGCAATTAATGCATGTTTATTCCAAGGGGCAGTAAGCACTTTAACTCATGCAGTGACTTAGGTTTGAAATTCAAAGTTTAGTATATAAAWAGGAAATGAATTTAAAAAAACATGTATTTTCCATTATTTCTTTTAAAAATAGCATCTAGACAGTGTATATTGTAAGAATAAGTTCTTCATAGACACAAATCGTCACTAACTCTTAGATTCTTCATTTTTCCTTTGTTTGTTTTAGAACTTCAATTGGAAGTTCTCTGAGGAAAGGCTCTGAAATAAGTGCAAAGGGGTTGATTCAAGAAAGGAGAAATGTGCCTCCACTGAGATAGTTGATTTAAAGAAGCCCTTCCTTTTCTAGAAGGTTTTCCACCTGCTAATAGCAAGCAAGAACTGGTGGTGGTTAACAGATGGGGCCATTCTAGTTAGAGCAGCCATGAATAGTGACAACTAATGTGTTGACTCGGGCCAAAGGGGGCCTCTGCTATGGAGGTCTGATCACAAATTGAGTGGTTACCTGCAAATTACCAGAATTCCCCTGAGAAGAGTCTCTCTTGATTAGACTTCATATTGTGTCTTGTTCTCTTTATAGGTTCGGGTCCCTGGATAACAATCACAGCATAACTCTGAGAACCTTATGTTATTCAAGAAAGTTGTATCTAGAATAGATGCTGACCTTTCATTTGAGTTTCTCCATATGTTTTTTCTTTTTTTCTTTCTTTCTTTCTTTTTTTTTTTTTTTGGTACTAGGGATTGAATCCAGGGGCATTTAACCACTGAGCCACATCCCCAGCCCTTAAAAAAAAAAAAATATATATATATATATATATATATATATATATATATATATATATATATTTTTTTTTTTTTTTTTTTTTTTTGAGACAGGGTCTCTTCAAGTTGCTTAGGACCTCGCTAAGTTCTGAGGCTGGCTTTGAACTTATATGAGTCTCCTTCCCCAGCCTCCTGAGCTTCTGGGATTACGAGTATATGCCACCACACCCAGCTCTTCATGTTTTCATGCTAGTGATGGCACCTTTTTGTCTACTAACTGATAATGTGTCTCCATCAAGAGAAACATCTTGAATATGTAACATATTCCACTAGCCTCACTGAATTCTTGGTATTGGTCAGTCAGGATTTCACTGACCTCATGCTAGCCACCAGTCAGAAGGAGCTCTAAGTCTCCTCATTTGCAAAATGTGAACCTGTCTTAGGTAATATCATATCTAAAGTTCTGAATACCTATGATACTCTGTGATTCTAAATAAATATTGCATGGAACTTTTACTCCTTTTTCTGGTTCAGTATTTCTTAGTGTAGTGTTTCCTTATGATTCTACTTAGTTTTGAACTTGAGATATCTAAACTTGAGATTTTTGTTTTTTAATCTGGCAGAAAGGATGTGGGATGAGCAAGAGCATACTCTCTCTTTTTTTTTTCTTATCTACAGCTTACCTCTCTTCATTGTTTTCCATCTGATTAGGGAAAGCAGCAAAGTCTAGTAATAATTTAATGGCATCAAGGTATCCATTGTTACAGGACCAGTGCAAAGCTGTTCTTCCCTATAAGCATGAACAAAATCAAGTGTACCTGGAGTAAATATTTTTGGACATGTGACTATTTATGCTAATTAAAAATATAAATAATCCTCCCCTTAAACTTTTCAATTATAAAAAAGGACACTATTATGTACACAGTGGAGAAAACAGACAGCTCTTAACCAAGGGATCATAACTAACACTATGTGAAAGGGTACCATATACCACTGGAGGTGATATCTGAGAAGGATTCAATATCCCTTATATAATATTCCAACCAAAAATGTAAAACCTGAATCTAATTATGAAGAACCATAAGACAAACCCAAACTTAGTCAAATTCAACAAAATAAACATCCTGTATCCACCTCTCCCCACCCCAGTACTGGGGCTTACAACCCTGCAGCACTTTTGAGTTATATTCCCAGTCCTTTTTATTTTTTTAATTTTGAGACAGGATCTTGCTAAGTTGCTGAGGCTTGCCTTGAAATTGCGATCCTTTTGCTTCAGTCTTTGGAGTAGCTTGGAACAGATGCATGCACCATTATAACTGACCTGGTGGCCTGTATACTTAAAAAACTTCAATGTCATGAAAGATAAAGCCATGAAGCATTGCAGGATATTTCACAGTGTTAATGGATGTAAAGGGAAAAATGTCCCAACCCTAAATTTTTAATTCAATAACAGAGTTTCTAAATATCCAGGGAAAAAAAATCTCACAAAATTAAAAGGGACATAGTCAAATCTATTATCACAGTGGGAGATTTTAGTGTTTTTAAAATAACAGTTGATAGGAAAAAAAGACAAAAGAGCACTAAAGACATAGAAGACACAAATAACACAATTTAAAGATCTGTTCTAAGTGACCCTGCATTTAAAAATGACAGAATTAGCATTCTTTTCAAGAGTACACAGAATTTTATCAAAATCAGTCATATACTGGACCATAAAGAAAGACTATAAAGAATAATGTGCTCTCCTGCAAAATGTCCATATCCTAATCCCTGGAACCCTGTTATGTTACTTGGAAAGCAGGGAATTAAGGTTACTAATTATCTGATTCTGAGGTGAGGAGATTATCCTGGATTATCTGGGTAGGCCTCATGTATTCATGAGGATCCCTCTAAGGGAAAGCGGGGGCAGGAGAGTGTCAGAGTGATACAGTGTAATAAAGTCCCAACTAGCCATTGTTGGCTCTGAAGATGGTAGAATGGGGTCATGACCCATGGTAAGTAAACAGCCTCTGGAAACTGGGAAAATTAAGAAAAGGAATTCTCCCCTAGAGCCTCCAAAAGAAATATAGCCCTGTTGAATCTTGAAGTTTTAGTCTAGTGAGACTAATTTTGACTCCTGATATCCCAAACAGTAAGATAATAAATTTATGTTTTTTTTGTTTGTGATTAATTTGTCACAAGAGCACAGGAAACTAATCCAATCGATTAAGAGAGAGAGAGAGAGAGAGAGAGAGAGAGAGAGAGAGAGAGAGAGAGAATGCCTAAGTGCCTGGAAATTAAACAATATAGTTCTAAGTAATCTACAGTTCAAAGAATAAATCAAATTAGAAAGTAGAAAATATTTTACCTAAATGACAGTGAAGGTACACAACTTAATCAAACTTGTAAGTTAAAGCTAAAGCAGAGCTTAGGAGAATCATATATATATATATTTGAAAAAATTGATGATTTAATCTTTTTAAAAAAAGTATTTATTTTTTATTTATAGGTGGACACATGTCTTTATTTTGCTTTATGTGGTGCTGAAAATCAAACCCAGTGCCTCAAGCATGCTAGGCGAGTACTCTACCTCTGAGCCACAACCTCAGCCTGATGATTTAATCTTTTATCAAAAGAATCTAAAGGGAAAAAAGAATAGTGCATCAAACCTGAGGAAAGTGGATGGCAGGAAATAATAAAGATGAGAGTAAACAATCATCAAAATAGTAAGCAACTTCAAAATGTATAAAGTTAACAAAGGAAGAAGTAAGTCCTTTGAAGATCAGAATAAGCCACATGAAAAGTTAAAAAAGAGAGAAAATACATGTTACAATATATAAAATTAAGATGAGGAAGTCACTACAGGTCTTACAGATACAAAAATGGTAAGTGCAGATATAGCCATCTTTATGCAAATACATTTGACATATTTCTAATAAATTATCTCTTACTAAAGTGAAAGAAAATTAAACTGATTAGAAAAACTGATTAGAAAACTTATTAATGGAACTAAATTAACAATCTTTGTACAAAGAAACCCCCAAACCAGAAGACTTCAATAATAAATTTTTCCAAATAGTTAAGGAAGAAGTAAAATCACTCTTATATAATTTGTTATGAGAATAAAAGAGGGGCTATTTCTTGACTCTTTTTATAAGGTCATTGTTAACTTGCTACCAAAATCTTACAAACGCAACATAAGAAAGGAAAATTATAGGCCAAACTTTCCATGAATATAGATGCAAAAATCTTAAAATATTAACAAACATAATACATCTTTATATATAAAAGTGCATAATACATTATAAGTGGGGCTTACTCTAGAAAGGTAAGAGTGGTTTAACATCTCACAAACGCAATCAATATAATTCACCATATTCACAAAAAAGAGGAGAAAAATAATATGACTTTTGTTGATAGATGCATAAATTTTACTTGACAAAAACTATGGTATTTAAAAACTCTTCGCAACTAGAAATATAATTTCATTCAATGGTGAAATATTGAAAGCTTGATCTTTGAGAAGCAATTATGAGTTAAGGATGCCAACTGTCACCAATTCTATTCAACATTGTATTGAAGATTCTAGCTAGTTCAACAAAATAAAACAAAGAAATGAAAAGTTTGGAAATAAAGAAAAATGATATTATTTACAGGCAGCAAGATTATTTATGTAGATAATCCAAACTACATATAGAAATTAATGGAACTGGAAAGGAGCTTTGTATGCTACTTATAGGAGAAATAGGCAACTTGGTAAAATATAAAAGGTATGACAAATTATAAAACATGCATTCCTAAGAATATAGACAAGGTCTATATTTTACATGTTTTTCATTATGATAATTTTACAAATAGTAACAATCTTGATTAAAAACTTGCTTAATGAATTAGTAGAGAATCTGTTTTCTGACTTGGAAAACATAGTTTATGCTAATATTTTTAAAGAGTTAAAATAAACTAGTACCCTTCCCCCCAAAAAAGTTAATACCAGCTAAAATGAGAAAAACTAATATATTACTACACAGCTGGGTGGAGTATAGATTGACCAATGCCTTTCAAATATTAGGTTGGCCTTATGTATTATGGCTGAAGCACATTTATATATCATTTATTGTGAGGTGCAGTGGTGCACACCTGTAATCCTAGCAACTTGGGAGGCTGAGGCACACGGATTGCAAGTTCAAGGTCAGCCTCAGCAACTTATCAAGACCCTGCCTCAAAATAAAAATAAAAAGGGCTGGGGATGTAGTTCAGTGCTAAAGTGCATCTGGGTTCAATCCCCAGTACCCTGCCTCCAGCCCCCCTCCGTAAAATACACACACACATTTACATATATGTACATAATTTGCATATATATATGCGCACTATTTTTTGGTTTGATTCAATATTCTCACTTAAGGGGAATTATTTTAGGAGAATAACTCAAAAGGAAAAATTAAATGCACAAAGATGATTCCTGCAATATCATCTACAATAATGGAAAAGTGTCAAGCAACAGGAGGTTATTTATTTAATTATAAAATGTGGGTTAAAGGCATAACTTGAGTCCTGACTCACCCATTCCCAAAGGTTGTCATTTTAGGGTCATGATTGAAACTACATGAGTTTCAATTTCCTTACCTGTAAAATGGGAGTAATAATAGCAAGTACTTTATTGGGTTGTTGTGAGGATAGAACCATCTATTATATTTAAAGCTCTTAGAATTTTGGAATCTTAAGAATTCATGATCATGAAAAAGATTATGTATCAAATGACAAAACACTATGATCATTTTAAGTGAACAAAATATGGGTCATAGTCATATAATATATACTTATATACATATATATATATATATATACATACATATGACATATATATCTTTTATAGAGGCTATAGAATGACTCCCAGTCTATTTAATGACTATGTTAGATATAGGTAAGGACTGGTTGAGAAAAATCATAATTGTAAGGATTTGTGGGTGATCTCTTCTTTGGTAATTTGTTTTATTTAAGTTTACAACAAAGAAGAAACATTATAAACACTTTGTAGCAAACAATATAGAAAAGTCCAAGTAGCTCTACCTCTTTGTCTTGAATGTTAGGGTCTGCGTTATTTTCCATGAGCACAGCCATGCAGTTGATATATCCCCCATATGCAGCACACTGCAAAGGGGTTCGTCCTGCATAATCTTGCACATTCGGATTGATCTTATTTTCTATTAGAATCTGGCAAACATCAGCATTTCCTCCCAGTGCTGCCCAATGTAGAAGAGAATGTCCATCTTGGTCAACTAGATCTACCCTTGCTCCACCTGGGAAAGCAAAAATATATTGAAAATGTGTAATGGAGATAGCATTTATCAAAAAGAATAGAAGTTAAAAAACAACAGTCCCATCAACACTTTACTCTCATTGAAATGCTTCCACATGCTTAAGTCTACTTCAGAGTTTTACAACCAGCCTGTAAATTGGTCAGGGTAGGAATCACTCCCTTTTACATCAAAGGAAACTGAAGACTAGGCAGGTGAAGTGACTTTTCCAAAACCAAACACTGTCAACAGGTGGAGCTGGGAGCAGAACTGGAGTTTCCTGTTACTAATTTGGCTGTTCTTCCCTTCACCTTTTTACCTAGGTGGCTCTTTGCTGTGTAAAGCTTTATTTCCAACCAAGCATGCAAGAACTTTGTGAGTGACTTAATAAGACTACTTGATTAACTAACCTTTAATAAGTGTCTGAATCACGTCTTTGTGTCCCATCTCACAGGCTCGGAAAAGTGGAGTATGTTTCATGACATCAGTAGCATCTACTTGAGCATCATTTTCCAATAATAACTTCACAGTGCTGACGTGGCCAGAAAGGGCAGCAGCATGTAAAGCTAAAAAGGAAGTAAAAGAAAATGACAAACTCTTTAACAACTTTACCTTTTTATTAGTCTAACTATGAATCTTTTCCTCTTCTGATTTCTCCATTGTTTTGGCTAAATGCAATCCAAATTGTAAAGATTCTCTAGTTTATTTTTCACTTTTGTAGGTTTCTCACTTCCTTCTTATTCATTTGTATTAGTCATACCTCCCCCCACCCCACACACTTCTACCTTTCTTAACTCATTGTTTTCTTCCTTTCCATCCTATTGGTCTGAAAATGGCACCCTCTTCTCAGTTACTAGTTTATTTAATCTTTCCTCTTTTAGAGAGCAAGAGAACAAAAAATGACAAGGAGAAAAGATTTAAATAGCACAGGCAATTCTGCCCATCAACCACTCGATAAGCACATGTCCATAAGGGGCCACGTGACATGTCCATAACTAGACCATGTCAATCTCCTGTTCCTTCAGCTGGCTACATGTGCCACTCCTTTGGTTGGTCTGTGCTCTGAAAGCACACACATCTTGTTACACTGTACATTTTTCATACTACATGGCTCCAAATGCAAGCCAGCGACTTTTTCAGGATTCAATTTGAGCAACATCAATCTTTTTGAACAATGGAGAAAAAACTGAGAGGTGAAATGTGGTCTCCTCTCTGGTGCCTTTTAAGGGGTTTTAAAGAGTAATTCTGACTACCTGTGTTTAATGGTATGCCGATGCTGATCCCTTCCTGTGTTACTCAACCGTAGTGTTTGACTTAGACAGTCACTCTAGGTTTGAATTAGCCATACTCACAGTTTAGAGGCTTGTGGAAGTTCTTTTTAAGTATGATGGCTCTATAATGCTTAGAATAATGTCTATTTCATACAGAGTGATCCACAAGCAAACCTGGGATGCCTGTAAAAGTGTGGACTTTCAGGCTGGGATTGTGGCTCAGAGGTAGAATGCTCGCCTAGCATGCGTGAGGCACTGGGTTCAATCCTCAGCACCACATAAATATAAAATAAAGACACTGTGTCCACCTATAAATAAAAATATAAAAAAAGTGTGGACTTTTGGGCTGGGTACTACTGGAATGCTGGGAATAAAATAGACAAAGTTATGGTCTAGAAGAGGAGCAAAGCAAAGCAAATATAAAACACTTTAAAATCCTATCAATAAATTGTTATACAGTGATGAACAGAATAAGAAATGTATGTCATAAAAGGTATTTTTATATAGAGAGTGACTGGGAGACTGTGTGTGTGTGCATGGGGAGGTATTGGGGATTAAACCCACAGGCACTTAACCACCAAGCCACATCCCCAGGCCTTTTTATTTTTATTTTTTATTTTGAGACAGGGTATCACTAAGTTGCATAGGGCCTTGCTAAGTTGATGATCAAAAGTTTGAACTTGTGATCCTCCTGCCTCAGCCTCCCGAGTCTCTGGGATTATAGGCGTGTACCACTGTGCCCAGCCTGGAAGACTACTTTTGACTGATAGTTAGGAAGTCCTTGCAGAAGAGCTGACATTTAAATTGAGACCTGAAACATAAAAAGAGAGAATATTTTGGGCAAAGGGAACAGTTGGTACAGGATAGGAATGACTTTGTGTGTTGAAGGAAGGCAAGAGTAGCTGCAGCACAGTGAGAGGGAGATAAATGAGAAAGATAGAAAAGACCAGATTGTAAATGGTCGTACATATCATACTGCTGGGAGACGCCAAAGGGCTTGAAGTACGGGGGGGTGATTATATCCAAATTATGCTCTAAATGGCTCATCTCACTGTTATAAGAAGAATGTATTATAGCAGATTAAAATACAGGCAGGGAGCCAGTTATTTTGTAGTAGACTGAGCAAAGAATGATGGAGATTTGAATGAGGGTGGTAGAAAGGGAGATGGAGAAAAACAGAGAAAGAATTAGAATATGTTTTAGAGGTGGAATCATAGGATTTGAAATAGGATCTCTGTCCAAATAGCATGGTATCTGCTTTTAAACAAATGCCTCTAGTAAGTCTTATACATTCCTGAGTTTGGGAACTACTGACCTAAATGGCTGCATATTGGTTTGATCTAGATGAAATTCAGATATCTGAAGGCCCATCATGTGTGGAGAGCACAAAGGTATCAGTCGGTTGTTAAACTGGGCTCATTATGAGGAAGAGATTTCTAACAGAGTCAGGTTACCATGGAAGTTGTAGGTGTGCTGTGCGGAAGCTGGTCAACCAGAGGCTGAGAGACCACTGGTGAGAATGTTATGAGGCAGATGAAAGCATGGCATAATATCTGTGATAGTTCAGGGATGTTTCACATTTAAAAAAAATTTATTGTTAATTTTATTTGTTCTAATTAGTTATACATGACAGTAGAATGCATTTTGATGCATCAAAAATAAATGGAGTATAACTTCTCCTTCTTCTGGTTATACATAATGTAGAATCAGCCCGGTTGTGTAATCATATATGTACATAGGGTAATAATGTCTAATTCATTGAATTTTTCACTTTTAAGAGCAGAAGAACCATCTCACCACCAAATGAGTTTTATAAAACACTCYACACATGAACCAGAAGTTGAGTGGTTCAGCTTGAATCAGGGGTGGCAAGTTACCCACCTGACTGTCTACTCCCCAGCARCATTTCAGCTACCTCTACAGAAATCTGCTCTTCTGAAGAGCAGGTTTAGGAACCCCTGGGCTAGGTTTAATTTTAAGGTAATATTTATTTTTTAAAAATATTTATTTATTTTTAGTTGGACATGATACCTTTATTTCACTTATTTATTTTTATGTGGTGCTGAGGATCGAACCCAGGGTCTTGYACATGTGAAGYGAGTGCTCTACYGCTGAGCCACAACCCTGCCTCAATATTTAATTTTTCAATGTTACAATCTTGTGATGTGGCATCAAATATGAAATAAATATTCTATAAATAATACCCATATATAAAATTTTTAAAAAGACAAAATTTCAATTAAGCAAAAAATAGAATTAATGACATACTAAATAAAATTTTCCATTTTATTTGTATTTACTTTAAAAAGTTAGACTTAACAATTATTACTTCCTCTTTGAAAAAAGTGCTGCGATTTTACATGAGGACTTTAAATTGTTTTAAAACTTAACTTTATATTCATGGAAAACTTCAAACATATTCAAAATTAAATAATAGTTCAGTGAACTCAATATAGCCATCACTCAGATTCAACAGTTATCAATACATGGCTAATCCTGTTTCATCTAACCACCAACCATTCCTGGCTTTTAAAATTCCAAAATCATTTCCTCTCATTGGTAAATATTTTATTATCTCTGGAGGACAAGGGTTCTTTTTTAAAACATCAGTGTATCAGTCAAGGTCTAGTCAGAAGACAGAAACCTCACCAGATATTTTAGCAGAGACAATTCAGTATAAAAAATTTGTTAGTTATGTATTAAAGAAATTAACAGTCAAAAGGAGAAAAAAATGTAGGAAGTAGCTACCAATCTTGCAACTAGGGAAACAAAAAAGAAGAAAATAAAATTATTAAAATCTAAAAGCTTAGAAGAGCCCTGCAGAGCAGAATCTCAGACCTATGAGGAGGGGCTCTGCCGTACTGGTCTGGGCATCCCTTAGAAGGGTGCTCTTGATACTAGCATTGTGCATGCTGGAAAAAATGCAGAGTGAAATTAATTGTTGTCAATGAAATAAACAATGATGCTGCACTGAAGAACCATTACAGAGTATGCTGACCAGAGCAGAAAACAAACCAAGAACAGGAAGCGAACAGGATGATGTAATCCTTTGTTTCTCTTCAAACCTTCCAGTCTCCCTCTACCTCCTGTATGTGCACATGCTAACAGGGCACTCACTGGCAAAGGGGAAATCTGATTTGCAGAGCCTCAGGTCCAGCACTGCAAAAGGAAGATAAAAGGATAACCTTCAACTAAAAGCAAGGCTAGTGATAAAGTGGAAAGCTGCCTAGTAACAGAGATGTGGGAAAAAATTAAACATTCAGCTAAGTTGTCCTTGAAGCTGAGAGATAATAGTTTAATAACTGGTGTACCACAATGCCCAATTGTCATACCTAAAAAATACTAATAGAAGTTCTATAATACCATCAAATATCTAGATAGTCACATGTCACATTTTTATGATGACTTTTTAAAAAATAGTTCATTTATATGAATCAGATTCCAAACAATGTCCATATGTTACTATTGGTAAGACCTCTTAATGGGGAGGAAAAAACAGCCTTATAGAGGGATGATGGAGAGAAACTCACCTTCATAGAAATGTAAGGAAGGCATCTTTTTTTCTTTTTTTTTGGATATACATGACAGTAAAATGTATTTTGGCATATTATACATAAGTGGAGTATAACTTATGCTAATTAGATCTTATTTTGGTGATTGTACATGATGTGGAATTACCTCAATCATGTATTCAAATATAAAGATAGGAAAGTTATGTCTGATTTATTCTACTGTCTTTCCTAATTCCTTCCCTCCTCCCTTCCCTTCATTCCCCTTTGTCTAATCCAATAGGCTTCTATTCTTCCCTTCCCCATCTTCCTTTGTTGTGAGTTAGTATCCACATATCAGACAGAACATTTGACTTTTGGTTTTTTGGGACTGGCTTATTTTATTTGGCATGATATTCTCCAGTCCCATCCACTTGCTGGCAAATGCTATAATTTCACTCTTTTTTATGGCCAAGTAATATTCCATTATGGAAGGCATCTTTGATACATAGAAAAATCCCCATAGGAGAAAGAACCCAGGAATTAATGAATCTGAGAAGAATTTATGCCTGAACTCCAATCACAGTGCATATCAGAAACACACTTTTGGTCAAAATATGCGAGTATCCTTGCCCATACTTTATTAAGATACATGAAAAAGTTAAACTAAAAGCAAAGTTAGAAATAAAGTGGCAGACTGTATAGTAAAGGGAATCTGATTAAAAAAATTAAATGTTCAGATCATTTATAACCTCAATGTCCTATGGGTCTGCTTTATATCCCTACAAAAACTTAAGATCTAATATGAGGCTTTGATAAAGAAACAATCCTTTTTTTTAAAATATTTTTTTTTGTTGTAGATGAACACAATATCTTTATTTTATTTATTTATATGTGGTGCTGAGGATTGAACCCAGGGCCTCACAAATGTGAGGCAAATGTTCTACCACTGAGCTACGATTCTAGCCCATAAAGAAACAATCTTTTTTAACAAATATTTTTATTAGATTTTGATGGACTTTATTTTATTTACTTATTTATATGTGGTGCTAAGAATCGAACCCAGTGCCTCATGCATGCTAAGCAAGCGCTCTACCACTGGAGCCACAACCTCAGCCCTAAAGAAACAATCTTGACAGAGGCTTGTCATAAAATTGAAATTGCCTAAAATCTTAAAAAATAATTAGAAGGGTCTTGGTATMAGTAGGATGATTTTTCAGTGTAGTAACTTCAAATCCCTCCCCTTCCTTCCCCTTAGTACTGCATCACTAGTTTTAGTGGCCAAACAAAATCTTATCTAGAACAATAGGTAGGRCAAATGGCTTTAGTATGTTTGTACAAATAAAAAACCCATAATACTGTGAAGCTAACCCATCACTGAGTTCTTAATTCTGTTTAGTACTGGTGTGCAAATTTTACTGGTGTGTAAATTTTCTTTCTTTCTAACTTGAAWTTAGGACACAGGACACAAGTAAGAGACCTCTAAGTTGATACTTAATGCTAAAAAATGTGTACATCTCTTAGTAACCAATACATAGTTAAAGGACTCTCTTATTAGAGAAAGATTAAATAAGCATCTAGTAAGAGCTTCTGATGCAATGCTGCCTTGAAGTTGTGAAACCTAGAGTCATGGGAGGTTATCTCTAAAGTGGGAGATTCAGTACTCAGTCATTCTACTCAAAACTGAGAAAAGAACATAGTAAGTGAGACTGGTGAGAACACAGGCATTCTTTAAAACATGACTCTAAATTTTTGAAAATATAATTAGTAACTACTAAAAATGCATAGTTTTAAAGTGGCTTCTGCTTTTTWAAAATTTTTAAGCACAAGATAAATGATCAGAGGAGTTATCATAACCATGTTTAAGGAGCAACCAATGTTTTAAACCAAATGCTACCATTCACCTGGTAGAAACATGTGCAATTTTAGACATAATACTTGGAAGAAATAAAAGCTATCAWACTCAAACTTTAAAAGTGGTAAATTCAAACAGTATTAGGTTAGGAACAATGATTTCAATTTTTTGAAACAATGATTTCAAATTTTATAGTACCACCTATACTTTGAAAGGTGAATTAAAGCAAACTGAACTTATCTACCAGTTCTTACCTGTGCCCCCATATTTGTCTGCCATGTTAATATCAATGTCAGATTTTAAACTCAGCATAGTCCTAAGGACATCATCACTGCCTTTCCCTGCTGCCCACATAAAGGATGTTCTTCCTTCGAGGTCTGAATCATCTTTCACTGAAGGATGTTTTAAAAAAACTTGTACTGTTTCCTGTAAGAAAACTTCATTTAAAAAATTGAGACAACAGGGTAACATTTTATGGTAACATAGCATAAGAAATAAAGTATYTCCCCTTACTTTTGAATCAAATTAAATTGTCTTTTCTATGAATAACAGAATAACAGAGTAAAAATTTTCATTGAAAATAATAATTCCCTGTCCTTATATATTGGTTTTAGTTTCTATAACACTTTAAAACCATAATCTAAACCTCTCATTCAACATTCTCAAAATTGAGAATGATCATTTTTAATTAAGTTTAAAAACATTTGGTCACTTGGAAGTGGCAGTTAAAAGACTCAGACATATTCAGAGTCATGACCAACATTAAAATATATKTTTTATTAGACATTTTACATGCAGAGTGTTCAGACATACCTCAGGAGAAAATAAATACATCATGTGTTTTTTTTACTAGAACTTTTAAAGATGGTTAACACACTTACTGAACACTGATTGATGGTTACTGAGAAACACAGTGTTCATTTAAACGTATTTATTTAGCAATTCCTATATTCCAGGTCACTCCCCTGGAATCATACAAAACCCAGGACCCTTGACAATCCTAACAGTGTCTGACATCTTTAGTGGGGGTTAACATTTCAGCATCTTGGAGTAGGGAACTGGGGGTTGAACACAGGAGAGCTTTCCACTGAGCTACATCCTCAGCCCTTTTTAGTTTGAGAGAGGGTCTTGCTAATATTTCAACGTTTTAAATTGCCTATTTTCTCAGAACTCAGATTCTTATAAATTTTTAGAACTATCAAGAAACTTGTGCTTGAATGAATGTTAAAGTTTCAGAAAGAAGTTTTTTTGGCTTTTAATTTAGAAAAAATGTATAAAATATTGAGTCTTAGTACAGAAAGAATAAAATTAAGGGCTCATTTAATCCATTTTATACATGAAAAAAAATTCATTTTATACATGAAAAATCATTTTATACATGAAAAAAAATTCAGATTCAAGGTCATACAAATATTTGGGGTAGAAACAAAAATAGATGACAGGGTTAAATTACAGTACTCCTTTTACTACATCATATAGTTTCCTTGTCTTAAAACTACTGGTGAATTACTGAGGTATGAAAGCTTATGCTTGGGCTGAGGCTGTAGCTCAGTGGCAGGGCACTTGCTTAGCACATGTGAGGCACTGGGCTCGATCCTTAGCATCACATAAAAATAAACAAATAAAATAACGGCTGCTGTCCATCTACAACTACAAATTTTTTTAAAGCTATACTTCTAAGGTCTACTGTATATGTTCATTAAATGCACTTTAAAAGTTTGTCATTTTTTGGTTTTTTTCTCTTAYTAATTTGCAAWTTTTTTGCTGAGTATGTTTTTTCTTAATGATGAATATTTATAGGAATTTTGGTTGTTTGCTTTTGTTTTTTGATATTTTTAAAAAATGAAGTTGCATCCTCCTGTGAGTTAACAAGGGGCCAAGTTGATCAAGGGACTTGAAAGAGAACTTAGAAAATCTGCATAACATTAGGAATCAACTCTGTTAATTAGCAGACATCTAAAGCAAATATTTCTTTGAATAAAYATCCATAATGTTCTACTATTCTTTCTTACTCCATTAGTATAGTTATTTAATTATTGGTATCTGTACATTTATAAATTTGGAGTCTAAAACTGATTTGAGACCATGGACAAGTAATTTAATCTCTTGGAATCTTGCTTTTTTTTTTTTTAATCTGTATACTGGATAATATGACCCATCTCATAGACTTAACATTGTATTATGGGGTTGAGGTCTGATATCCATAGATTGAAAAGCCTAGACCAAGAGAATTTCTTATCTATTTGTTAGAAGAAAGTACTCTTCCTCAAAATACTACTTTGCATTTTYCTGTGATGTTGGGAGATAAAAGAAGATAATGATTTGATAAAATTCCAGATGATAACTCTTGAATTTTTAAGAATGCTAAGAAGGAAGGACTATAGACATATATTTTTTTTTTTTGGAGACCAGAGAGTAAAGAAGGGTATGAAAGTAAAATATTTTCACCCTCTGAGTATTCAAGAAGTATTTGGAGAAGTCAAGAAGTTGAAATTATTCTGTACTGATGATAATATTATCATAATTTAATAAAACCAAGGGTTTCATGAATGTACACCCCTGTAGAAGACAGCACAATCAACTGTGACTGCTTTAATGTGTGTGTGAATCTTTGTTTCAGTCTTTAGTTTTTGCTGGCCATACATACTCAGGAAGCTGATCTAGCTTACACATTGTCATGTTACAGGGTGGTCTGAGGACATAATGAACAGGAAAGTGCTTTGCAAAACATAAAGARCTATAAAGGAAGAACTATTGCTGATATTCAGTGTTTCTGAAAGAACAATTYATGTTTGCTTTCTCAGATATAAAATACATAATTATTAGCACTAGTAATAAGAACATATTCTATTCAGTACCTGTTCTAGGCCAGCAATTATAGTGGGCACACTTGTCATAAATTTTCTCTAGTCTTTACACCAATCCAAAAAGAAAAGGCATAATTATCCTCATTTTACAGATTAAGAAACAAAAAGATTCAGGTTAAGAAATTTCCATTAAGGTCATACAGACAGTTTCCAGCCAAGRTTTTTCCAATTCCAAAGCCTTGCCACACTGCTTTTAGGAAAATAAAGATTGTTGAACACTAAGATGTCCTTAGTACTATAAATGTAACAAAAGATGAAGCACATTTACTTACATAAAGCAAAATATTACACTGAACGTTAAAATAAAAGCTATATCAAACTTTGCATGTGACCAGCTTCACAAAAAGTTGAAATGTCACTTGAATCACAGAATTAACAATATGAACAATTGTCARAAGATAATTGCTATATCAACACAGGCAAATGAGCACCCATAAAATTGGTGAAATTTGAATAAGATCATTGTCAACTTCCCATTTCTGATAATTGTACCAGATGTTACCATTAGGGTAAGCTGGGTRAAGAGTACAAGGGATCTTGTATTGTTCCCTGCAACTGCATGTATTATATCAAAATAAAAAGTAAGAAAAAAGAATTATTGGGCTGGGGATATAGTTCAGTGGAAGAGCACTATCCCAGCATGCTCAAAGCCCTGGTTCAGTTCCCAGCATCACCAAAAGAAAAAAGAAAATTGTCTTATTTTACTTACAGCAAAGTTACTCTGAGCTGCATAGTGCAAGGGTGTTGCTCCTTGGCTGTCAGATGGGATAGTTCCAGATTTATTTCTTTCTAAAAGGAGATGGACAATCTGTGCATGGCCTGAGAGCAAACACAACAAGGTAGTTATAACATAGGAAGGACACAATTAATTTATAATCTATTTGAAAAAAGAAAGATGTAAGAAAAATCACTCGCACATAATGCAGCATTCAAAATGTTTTGTGAATAGCACTGTCTTCCAGTGCAGACTCATCTAACTTCTTACCAGCATACTAGATAGAATAGAACAAGGTGAAAACACACAGCACTAAAATCTTAATGCTTCAATTGAGAAAGAAATGACATTGGGTATAACTGCTAGACCAAGAAAATATTATTAGGTATTAGGTACCTAATATTAGGTATCATCTCATTGCATTCCCTGACTTCACTTTATAAATAGTCAAGTCACAGAGGAGGGAAGATAGGTCCTCTTAGGATTCCCTGTGCCTGTCTCAAGGTTCTATCACCAATTAACTAGAACTACACAGCTGTTCCCTTCTGCTATTCTACATCCTGAATGGCTTCCTGGCCTCTAATCTCTCTCCCCTAGTCTTTTAACATCAAGGCAGTGATTTTAAATCCCACAAAACAAGGAGGTAGGTATGACAAGGTAGTGGTGGGACAATATTCTGCAGTACACTCTGGAGGAAGTGGGTTCTATAAGTGAAGAACTATAGAAAAGATAAAAAAAATAATTGAACCTATAATAGCATATGTAGAAACCTGAATTTCATATTCTTTATTACTAGAGCACATTGGGGAACTGGGCAATGAAGAAGATACCATATTAGCACAGCAAGGATACACTGAATGAAAACCAGGCAGAAAAAAGGGAATTTGAGTGGTACTGTGCTCATCTACTTTGCATATGTGACTTAAGGTGGAGTCTCCAGAACACAAGGCAATCTATGCCACACAGTTAACCTGAACACATCCCATCTTGTTTTGTGGCATAAAGATAAAAATTCAGTGAAGACTACTAGAAAGCATCCTATAGCACAGGGGAAAAGGAACCAGAAGAAAGATATAGAGCATACCTCTGAAGTGATCTAAGAAGGATCCAGAGGAAAAATTCAGGAAACTGGCATCTTTGACTTACGATAAAAAGAGGTGGCTTCTAGGAAACAGAAACAGAACACCCTAAGAAGAAAACAGACTGAAATACAAAGGTAATGAATGGAAGGAGGTAAAAGGAAATAAGATGAAATTAAAGAAATACAGGTAAAGCTGGGTGTGGTGGTGCATGACTCTATTCCCAGCCAACCAGGGGGTGGAGGCAGGAGGAGAGTAAGTTTGAGGTCAGCCTGGGRAACTTCAAGAGAACTGTCTCCAAATAAAGAACAAAAGGGATGGAATATAGCTCAGCAATAAAGCGTCTCTGGGTTCAATTCCCAATGCTGATGGGAAAAAAAATGAAAAGAAATATGGAGAGAAGGAAGTGAAAATGCAATCTAAATTACAATCTATACAGGAGGCAGAAAGAAAGCAGAATTTATGSGTAAAAAAATCAATTTAGTTATGAGACAAATTTGCCAAATACACTCACATTCTAGAGGAAAAGGAAAAAGGGGTGAATCCATGCATTGAAATGAAGTTTAAATACCAGTTATAAATTTGATTATAAAAACTGAAGGCAACAGAAAAATCATGTTCAAAAGAGACAATGTGTAATTTATAAACTAAGATCAAGATAATAATAACTGGAGGGAAAAACCTCAGATTATATCAACAAATATTAAAAGAATAGTGAGTAAAAGTGTGCTAAATTCTGTCTTTATGTGGCAGTTAGCAGATAAATAGATTGACTCAGACTCAAAAAACTGTTTTTGATAAGTTGAAGTAATCCCTAACAGAAACTAAAAATCCTCCTAATAACACAAAGTATTTCAAAACCAAATAACAGCAACAAACCTAATCCATAAACCAAAAGACAGAAAACAAAGGAAACAGGCAACAAACAAACAAAATTAAGAAAAACCCTGAAAAAACTAATAATAGCATAATAGCAGGGGGAAAAAAGGACCAAATTCTCATTTAATTATTAATGAGTCAGCAAAAGAGAAAGCCTTTCAGAATGTACCCTTTTCAAAAAGAAAAGAAAAGAAAAATATCTCTCTCTCTCTCTCTCTCTCTCTCATATAAAAAAGTGATCCCTTGGTGGGATGTAGTTCAGTGGTAGAGCATATGTCTGTCTGGCATCATGCATGAGGTGTGGCCCTAGGTTCAATATCTATAGAACCATAGAACTGCCAAAAAAAAAAAAAAAAAGCAGCTGGGTAGAGTGGCTCACACCTGTAGTCCCAGCTACTTAGAAGGCTGAAGCAGGAGGACCACTTGAGCCCAGTAGTTTGAGGCCAGCATGGGCAACATAGTGAGATCCCTATCTATAAAAAAAAAAAGGACTAAAAAAGTGACTCCCCCAAAAGTTTAAATAAAAAGCAAATATGAAGGAAAAAAGCAATTATCATGGATTAGCACAAACATAAAATCAAAGCCCCTTTCCCCATAAATAAAGGCAATGAACATGAAAAACAAAAGTTAAAAAGTCACAATATGATGTTGAAATTAAAGCTAACATCACTTAACTGAAAACAAAGTTACATAACTAAAATTTAAGCATACAATGAAGGGAGGCAGTTTATAAAATAACAACATATCAGTGAAAAATTAAAATATTTAAATAGGAGATGGGAACCAACAGGGGAAGAGAAGGCATAGGAACTTTCCTATACTCATGCAGTTCTTCCTACTATTGATCCTGTAATTTAAAGCCAACTTACCTAGTAAAGCTGCCCAGTGAAGTGGGGTTCGAAATAAGTTATCATAAGACGTTATATTGCAGCTTTCATATGAGGTCAAGACATCAACCACCGTCAGGTTTCCATCAGCAACAGCAAAATGAAGAGGTGTGCGCCCCTCATAGTCTTGCCAGTTCAGTAAAGACTCCGTTGGAGCAGCATCCTGTTTTGAAGGAACCAAAGACTTTTAGACATATGTGGAATCCTCAATAAATTTTATTTGGCATAAGTAATGAGCAATTTTCTAAACAAAACCTCCATATTCTTAATGGTCACAAGTAAAGTGATAAAGCCAAAAAAAGGGTACAGTCTAAAACTTTTAAAAATTTATTTAGGGGAGGGGAGGGGAGGGGGGATAGTAGACAATAGGACAGACAGCAGAATACATCAGACACTAGAAAGGCAATATGTCAATCAATGGAAGGGTAACTGATGTGATACAGCAATTTGTATACGGGGTAAAAGCGGGAGTTCATAATCCACTTGAATCAAACCGTGTAATATGATGTATTAAGAACTATGTAATGTTATGAACGACCAATAAAAAAAAAAAATAGAAAAAAAAAATTATTTTCATATTTAACTATAAAAAGTATAGAAAAGAATAGCCATCATGCACTATGTTAAAAAGTATCAATATTTTGCCTAATGTGTTTTTGTATCTGTTACAGATTCAGTTAAAGCCTTATTTTGTCCTTCTGTACATATGGACACATCCATAAGCAATACATAAACTTTGTATGTGTGTTTTCGATATTTACATAATGGCAGTATACATGTATATCTTTTGGCAACTTTTTCTCTCAACAACCTACTTGTGGTATCTATGCTGATACTAGTTCATTTGTTGAAGTGCATGAATAAAATATGATTTAGTTGTCTGTTCTAGAGAGGGACAGTTAGCTAATTTCCATTTCTTCATGATTACAAATAATGCTGCAATAAATATACTTTCTTTATTGTCCCTTGTAGCACATGTGTGAGGTTTTTCTCTTGGCTAGATACCAAAAGGGGAATTACTGGGTTGAAGGACATCTGCATCTTCAATCAGATATTGTTAAACTGCTCTCCGAATGGTTATACCAATTAACACACCCATGACAATGTGCAAAATTTTTTATTTCCCCACATGCTGGCACAAATTAATCACTCGGTATATCAAGCTTACTACATTTTCCCCATATGAGTATGAAAGACACTTCAATGATGTCTTAATTTATAGTTCTTTTATGAATGAAAGGGAGATTTTTAATTATATGTTTATTGGCAATTCGTTTTATTGCTCTGTAAATTGACAGTTCACAGTAGTTATTCATTTTTCCATTGGATCTTTGTAGCAGACATTATAATGCACTGCTTAGGTCCCCCTTCAAGACTAGAGGCCTTACTTCCCTAGCTGCTGGGAGCTCTACCAGCTAGTAATCCTTAACTGTCAGCTTTATGGAATTTCTTCAGCCACAGAGTTACCTCACCCAAGGTCATGTTCCTTCTCAGGTTAGCCCTCTTGCCTCAATCTGAGAACTCTTTGAAGGGCCATCCCCAGGTTTAAAGCTTCCTATCCAGTCAGCCTATTTTCCAAAAAAAATTGTATGATTTAGGCCCTGGAGACTCCTAATGAGTAAAGTGTGTTTACACAAGGGAAAAATAAGGCCAAATCTGAGAGGAAATAAGTGAGAATTGCCCCCAAGGACTTCAGATATTGGAATTAACACATAAAGAATATAAAATAAAGGCTAGGGATGTAATTTGGTGGTAGAGCACTTGGTTAGCACGTGTAAGGCCTTGCACCAAAATAAATTAATAAGTAAATAAATGAATATATGAAATATGTAAAAAGATAAAAAATGAAATGGGAAGTGAGCAAGAAAGGAAAAACTAATATAATGATAAGACAGATTTGAAAACAAACCAAGTAGAATTTTAAAAGTGAAAAAAAAATACAATCACTAGAATTAAACACTCAATAGGTCAGGCAAGACTAGTAAATGACAAGATAAATCAGTTGCCATTACCCAGAATGCAGCAGAGACTCCAGGAGTCGGGAATAGAAGATTAAGTGAGGAAACATGGAGAATAAGGTGAAAAGTTCTAAAATATAGATAATTGGAGACCCCAAAGGCAAGAATAGAGTTAATAAAGGAGAATCAAGATTTAAAGAGATAATAGCTATATGTTTCAGAACTGAGCTACAATAATCAGAATGTACACCAAACAGGATTTTTTAAAATGGCCACCCCTAAACACACTGTAGTAAGACTAGAGAATGTCAAAACAGAGAGAACTAAAACAGCTAGAGTGAAAAAGATAGGTCATCTAAAAAAGAATGATAATTAGACCAATAATAGACTTCTGAAGAGTGATAATAAAAGGCAGAAAGGAGCAAAATAATACCCTGAAAGAGCTAAGAAAATTGACTACCTGGGATTGTGTACACAAGAAAACTGTTTTTTTTCAAGAGCAAGGTTGAAAGGCAGACTTGTTTGTTTGTTTGGTTGGTTGGTGGTACTGGGGATTGAACTCAGGACCTTGCACATGCTAGGCAAATGCTCTACCTCTGAGCTCTACCCCCAGTCCAAGGCAGACACTCTCAACAGTTAAAAAAAGAAAGTTCAAGCTAGCCCCCAAAAGTCAAAGGTCAAATGTTTTCTCTGATATATGGAAGCTAACCCCAAATAAGTAAGAGGTGGTCGAGGGGGAGCTAAAAAGGGGGAAAAAGGGAAAAGGGAATTCCACCAAAATAGGGGAAAGGTCAGTAGAGCAGACTAAGGGGACTGAAGGGGAGGAGGCAGGATGGGAAAGAACAGTGGAATGAATCTGACTGAACTTATCTATGTATATAGATGAATATACCACAGTGAATCTCAACATCAAATATTCCATAAGACACTAATTTAAAAGAAACTATAAATAAATTACAGAAAGATGAGTAGATTTGAGGGAAAGGAGAGGAGGAGAGCGGAGGCAGGGGAGAGGGAAGCACTGGGGACTGAATTAGAGCAAATTATATTCCATGCTTTTGTGATTATGTCAAAACACATCCTAATGTTATATATATCTAAAAAGAATCAATTAGGGCTGGGGCTGGGGCTCAGTGGTAGCCCACTTGTCTGGCATATGTGAGGCACTGGGTTAGATTCTCATCACCATATATAAATACATAAATAAAATAAGGTCTATCAACAACTAAAAAAAAAAAAGAATCAATTAACCACTCCCCCAAGCAAACAAACAAAAAACAGTGTTTACCACTTATATATCTATACTAATGGAAGTTTTAAAAACTATATATTAGGAAGGAAGGTAATAATTCCAGAAGGAAGACTTAAGAGTAAAGAAAAAATTAGGTAGGATGCAAGTAAAAATAAATAATCATTGTATATACAAAATAACACTTTTAAAAGTCTAATTTATGTGTTAAAAACAAATAGCGACGACACTATGTAAAGTTGGAAGTTAGGACACAGTGATTAGAAAACCTCATACAATCTACTGAGAAGTATTCAAAATTAATAAAAATAGGTTAGATATATAATTAATGAGCAAAAAATCAATTGCATTCCTATACAACTGAAAAAAAACAAATATATTCCACAGATTATTTTTAAAAATACTCAAAGTAACAGTGATTGTAAACAGCAAAAATATAGTTTAAATGTCTGTCGACAATAAAATAATATACAGTTTATTCATAAAATGGAATACTACATAGAAGTTAAAATTAATACATTATAGCTACACATAGTAGCATATATAAAATCTCCAGCATGAGGTTGAACAAGTAAAATCACACTACAAAGAATATCGACAATGTGATTTCATGTATATAAAATTTAAAACTAATGAAAATCAGTAGAAGGAAGCAGAGAATAGAATGGTACTGGAAGATATTCTACCCAGAAGACTTCAATGGTAATGGTAGTGTACCTTTTTAAAAATTCAGTGATGAGTACATGAATCTGTTGTTTCCTTATTCTTTATAGTACACATGCATTTCCCTGATACTTGCTTATATCTACTTATTATTTAATTTAAAATATAAAGCAAAATAAGGGAATGATAAATATAAATTCAGGAAAGTAGTTGATGGGGGTCAGGAGTGAGAACAGCATCAGAGGACTGAATGTATTTGGAAATTGGAACTCAGGAAAACTCTGCTCTTAAACAATGGTACTGAAATGCTCTATGTCTTGGGGGATAAGTCCACATGTTTGTTGTGTTCTTTTGCTTCATGATTTTTTTGTATACTACGTATAAACATATATATGCTTTTGTACACATTAGATATTTCATAGGAGATTTTTTTTTTTCAAAAAATGGCCATTCGGGTCCAGTAGCATTTTTCTACTCACCAGAATGCATCTCACAGTATGAACAGCACTTGGATCTTTATGATTGGCTGCCCAGTGGAGAGGGATCTTGCCTTCAACATCAGGAATCCCAATGTTGGAATCATGCTTGATAAGCAGCTTCACATGTTCAGGGTTGTTGTAGTAGGCACTCCAATGCAGAGCTGTTTGCTGAAAGAGCGGGAGGATCTCAAAAGAACTATATATTAGGAAGGAATAGCCCCAAGCTATTATTGTGTAATAGGCATGGGTGTAAGAGTTCTATAATTTTACCCCACACAGTCATCATGACATCTCTGGGAGCTAAGTACTCTTTAATTTGCATGTGATTGATACGAAAAAAGTACAAAGAAGATGAGTAGTTTACTCAGGAACATAAAGGTAGTATGGACTCTATAATCAGGTGGTTTGATTATAGAGTCCAACCTCTTAATGGTAACAGTCATTTAGTTTATCAAATACAACTAATGCTAAGAAAGATAAAAACTGCCCAATAATTATGAATAATTATCAATGAAGTAAATACTAAGCTTGATACATTGTATATTTGGTTGTCACCAAGTACCTTAGAATTTGATAGACTGATTTTAATTTTAATATCTATCGAAAAAGAAGACAGGGGCTGGGGTTGTGCCTCAGAGGTAGAGTGCTCACCTAGCATGTGCCAGGTGCTGGGTTCGATCCTCAGCACCATATAAAAATAAATAAAATAAAGGTATTGTGTCCAACTACAACTAAAAAATATTTTTTAAGAAGAAGATATATCCATAGAAAGTTCATAGATCTAGAATCCATTCTTTATATCAAAAGATAAATTTAAATTTATAATTTTATAGGATAACTGTTAGACCTAGTTACTAAAGAAAAGATACATTTTGAAAGTATAGCAACACTTGCTTTATTTCAAATAAAATGATCATCCTCAACTTGTTGAAACTGCTTGAAAATCATTTCTAAATACTCATCCACATACCTCTGAACAGACATAAGACTGTTTTTGCTATTAGGAGAATTACTAAGGAAAAACATAGGAACTGTTTATATGTACATTATCCCTGACAGCATAATCATCAGTCCAATCAAGAATTAGATAATTTAATGAGCATGAACCAAGCTCATCTGTCACATTAAAATCTGACACATATATTCAAAGTGTACCTACAGGCATTTAATATAAAGTCGATTTAATTTGTTAGTTTTGTTTAATAACAACTGTGGAACACAGTAAAATCACAACTATAATAGCAATTATTAATCATCCTTTGTTTTCCTATGTCAGGTTTATTCTGATTATAATTATTGAAATATGTCTGTTCAGCCTAATAGTAAAAAGTTTGAACTTATTTTTCTAAATGTTTGTTTTTTGTATTTTAGTAATTCTTTGATTACTATGTTAAAATATACATAATAGAAAATTCACCATTTTAACTGTTTTTAAGTGGCATTAAGTACATTCAGATCACTGTGCAACCATCAATACTCTACACTTCCAGAAATTTTTTATCTTCCCAAACTGAAACTCTGTACCCATTTAACAATAACTATCCAGTCTTAACTTCCCCCAGCTCCTGGCAACTATCAGTCTACTTTCTGTCTGAATAAATTTGGTTATCCTAGGTACTTCGTAAGTAGAATCAAACAGTATTTATCCATTCGTGTTTGACTTATTTCACTTAGTATGTTTCTTCACAGTTTATTCGTGTTGCAGCATATTTCATAATTTCATTCCTTTCTAGGGTTGAATAATATTCTATTGTATATACAGATAGCTACTACATTTTAATCATCCAGTTATCCATCAATGGACATTTGGGTAAGTCCCAAATGTTTTCGTCTTTTGGTTATTGTGAATAATGCTGCTATTGAACAAGAATGCCCAAATGTCTGTTTGAGTTCCTAATTTTAATTCTTTGAGTATTTATCCAAAACTGGAACTGCCAGATCATATGGTAATTTTATGTTTAATTTCTGAGGAATTGCCATGCTGTTTTGTATAGTAGCTGCAGCATTTTACACTTCTTCCAGTAAGGCATTAGCATTCAAATTCCTCCACATCCTTCCCACACTGGTTATTTTCTGTTTTTGTGATAATAGTCACACTAATAGTTGTAAAGTGTTAGCTCACTGGTTTTGATTTGCATTTTCTTAATGATCGTGCATCATTTCAGCCATTTGTGTATCTTCTTTGGAGAAATGTCTATTCAAGTTCTTTGTCCTTCTTAATTAGATTTTTGTTGTTCATTTTTAATGCATGTTATAAAATAATTGATCTGTGACATTAAAAATTAAAAAAAAAAACACAAAACACCTGATCCTTTACTACAGATGGTCTTTGAAGAATCACTCTTTAGGCTCTGGTCTTGTTGTCGTCTCTGTGACTTGCTGTAATGTGCAGCTCTGTTTCATCTGTCTGACTACATAAACTCCCTTTTCTGTCCAAAAACAGAACATAGAGATACTAGAAGACAGCAGGAAGTGCCTAGAATACATTGAGGAAGATATTATAAAGCTTAAAGACATGGGAGGTTTAAGTGATTAATGGTTCTTTGTGGATGAATCAAACTGTTTTTTTCTAGTGAAATATTACCACTGTAGATACCATGAGTTAGGAACAATATTAATGTATATTTACTATAAAGTAAAAGTTGACCTCAGAACTCTGGTGACTACTAAACAAAACTTGAAAACTATATAAACACTATGAGAGCAAAAAGATTATTAAATATGAAACTAGTGGAGTTAATCTTAAGAAGTTGTGTGTGTGTGTGTGTGTGTGTGTGTGTGTGTGTGTGTGTTTGTGTGTGTGGTACTGGGGACTGAATCCAGGGGAGCTCTACCACTGAGCTATATCTCCAGGCCTTTCTTTTTTTTTATTTTAATATTTATTTTTTTTAGTTCTCGGCAGACACAACATCTTTGTTGGTATGTGGTGCTGAGGATCGAACCCGGGCCGCACGCATGCCAGGCGAGCGTGCTACCGCTTGAGCCACATCCCCAGCCCCAGGCCTTTCTTTTAAAAAGAATTATTTTGAGTCAGGGTCTCACTAAGTTGCTGAGGCTGGCCTTGAACTTATGATCATCTACTCAGCCTCCCAAGCAGCTGGGATTACAGGCTTGTCATCCTACTGTGCCTGGCTATAAGAGTTTTAATTACATGGGAGCACTGGAGTTAACAAGACTCTATGACTAAGTACCTGATGGAAAGAAAGAAGATTATTGTTCTTGTTTAACTAATGACTACATTTTTACCTCGGGTAAAGAACGTTCAGAACATCAATCAAAAAGATGACCATTATGTACAATATTTAAGAATTTAGTAACAGAGAACATAGCAATAAATGCTAGATCAGATATTAGAACTTAAAATTAATAGTTATGTAACAGTGAGCGTTAATTGAGAGTATACTATGCACTAAGCATTGAACAGTTTGTATGTATTATCTCATTTATTTAATAATTTTTTAATTAAATTATTTATTTGTTCTAATTTGTTATATATGATGACATAATGTAATTCATTGTATAATACACATACAGAGCCCAATTTTTCAAGTCTCTGGTTATATACAGAGTATTTTCACACCATTCCTGTCTTCATACATGTGCTTAGGGTAATGATGTCTAACTCATTCCACTGTCTTTCCTACCCCCATGCCCCTTCCTTTCCCCTCCCTTCCCTTTGCCCTATCTAAAGTTCCTCCATTCCTCTCATGCTCCCCCCAATTGCCATTATGAATCAGCATCCTCATATCAAAGAAAACATTCGGCCTTTGGTTTTTGGGGATTGGCTTCACTTAGCACTATATTCTCCTACTCTATCCATTTACCTGCAAATGCCATGATTTTATTCTCTTTTGTTGCTGAGTAATATTCCATTGTGTCTATATACAAGTGTTTCCCTATCCATTCATCTACTGAAGGGTGTCTGGGTTGGTTCCACAATTTAACTATTGTGAATTGTGTTGCTATAAACATTGATGTGGCTATGTCTCTGTAGTATACTGTTTTTAAGTCCTTTGGGTATAAACCAAGGAGTGGGATAGCTGGGTCAAATGGTGGTACCATTTCAAGGAATCTCCATACTGCTTTCCAGATTGGCTGCACCAATTTATAGTCTCACTAGCAATGTATGAGTGTGCCTTTTACCCCACATCCTCACCAACACTTATTGTTGTTTGTATTCTTGGTAGCTGTCATTCTGACTGGAGTGAGATGAAATCTTAGAGTAGTTTTGATTTGTATTTCTCTAATTGCTAGAGATGTTGAACATTTTTTTCACATATTTGTTGATTGACTGTATATTATCTTCTGAGAAGTGTCTGTTCACTTCCTTTGCCCATTTATTGATTGGGTTATTTGGTTTATTGGTGTTAAGGTTTTTGAGTGCTTTATATATCCTAGAGATTAGTGCTCTATCTAATGTGCTTGTGGTAAAGATTTGCTCTCATTCTGTAGGCTCTCTGTTCATCTCACTGATTGTTTCTTTTGCTGAGAAGCAGGTCTCTGGTTTAATTCCTAGATGCTTGATCCACTTTGAGGTCAACCATCTTTTTCTTTTTTTTAGTTGTAGATGGACAGAATGCCTTTATTTTGTTTCATTTTTGCATGGTGTTAAGGATCAAACTCAGTGCCTTATACATGTTAGGCAAGTACTACTCTCCCACTGAGCTACAGCCCCATCCCTTATTTTCAACAATCTGAATACCCCTTTTCACATATGAGAAAATTGAGACATATAGGAATTAAGCATTCCCTAAGGACACAGAACAAGTAAGTGGTGGCTTCTGGATTGAAACCCAAGGAATCTGATGCCAAAGCCCAGGCCATTAGACCACTATGCCTTGGGACATTGCTCTAGGTACCATGAGCCTAACCACTACATCAATTATCATGGCACTCTGTCAATATTGGGTTTTGGAGTTAAACAGGCTTGGATTTGAATTCTAGTTCTATCACTTGGGTCTTGTGCAAAATTTTAATCTTTCTGAGCTTGAGTGTCTCCATCCATAAAAAGGAGATGATAGTACCTACATGGTAGCGAAAAGGCTAAAATAACAGAACTTAAGTGAAATATTTTCCTGGAATGGATGGAGATATGGAGTTCTTCTACTGTAGGTATGGGTGATAATTTAGGCTTTATTTCTTGAAGTTTCATTTCAAAAAAGGAAACATTTGCTTTCTCTTCTCATTTGTCTTAGACTTTGCCAGTCTATTACCTTGTTTTTATCCTGTGTATCTACTTCCCCTGGTGCCATAAACTTCAGCAGAAGTGCCAAACACTTAGGGCTCTTGTGCCGGGTGGTCAAGTGCAAAGGCGTCATTTCTTCTAAATCCTTTTGCATCCAGTTTGCTCTGCGTGTAAGTAAGAGTTTCATGAAACGATAATTTCCCTAAATAAAACAAAAAGAAACAATATGAAGAAATTTACTTTGGAACCATTTTTTAAATTTTTAAATGTTTTGAGTATTTTAATCCTATTTTGTCCTAGAGCAAAATATTCAGAGAACTTAATAAAAGGAAAAATACTTATGATACTACTAAACTAAGATAGCAATTGTTTTATTTTTTTCAACAAGTAAAGCAGCCTATTCAAAGTTCATATCCCAGATTCAAATGGGCACCTAAATTCCAACCCTGAAGTCATTGTAGGCCATCCACTTAGAGGTAATACTTTCTGTATCAATTAAATCTTCTAATCTTGTAGAATAAACCCATCTAAGAGAAAGAAACTTAGGTACAAGGGCTAGAACAATATAATATTGGGGATCCAGGACAACCATTATACAGTAAACTTGTATAACGTGGGAGCTTTGAGACAAAATAAAACTCTCTAAAAATAGTTCTATACAGTTCTTTCCTGAGATCTAATTCCTTTCTTCCAGTTCTGACTGGGAGGCTTCTATATGTTTCAAGGTCAACATGACCAAAAAGTACTACAATTGATCAAGTTTTCAGCCTACTTCATGCTTATTTGTCTCTCCCTACACAAAGCATAGTGGAAGGCAGGGTTATCTGTTTTATCTTCTTGGACCTTAGCCTTTATGGAGGTGGGGTCTTTGAGTATAATGATGCAAGATACCTCTTAATCAAACAGGCAACCCAGGGTGAAGGATGTGAGGCTCTAAGGTAAAGGGGACTACCTAGGGTAATAGAAGTGCAGAAGGATGAAGGAGACTGGCTTACTTGCCCACAGGGGTTAACCCATGGGTTGGGACAGAGACAAGGAGAGATAAGACCCAGGTTAGAAGGAAGTGCACAAGACTATGTTAGAGGAGCACAGCTGGAATGGACGGAAGAACAAACTGACTCAGCTTAATGATTTCATCTCAGAGAGACTTTCCTTGACAACCCTAAGTAGAACTTATTTTCTTATTCTTTATCCTACTACCTTTCCATTTCCTTCATAGTATTTTGTTCAGTTTGTAGTTACATATATATTCGCTTCCTTTCACAAACTCCCTCACAAACTATAAGTTTGACAAAGGCAGAAGCTATTTCATTGACCTCTGTGCTCAGCATAGTTCTTGGCACAAAACAGGTGCTTAATAAATATAAGTAAATTACATGAAAGACTAGTAGGAGAGAATGAAGACATGAAATATCTTTCAGAAGTTTTTGTTTTCATTTAAAAATTCTTATTTATAGTGCTGTATTAGATCATAGAGTTAAGAACCTTAATTCTCAAATAACTGGTATCTGGTTATTGTTACTTTTTAATATTTCATTTATTTGAACTTTGTTAATAGTGTAATGATTAATGGACTTCTCATTTTATTCTGTCAGTTCTTGAGAAGGAAAGTGCTAGAATTTCCTCAAGAGGGCACCCTGCTCTAAATTTCTTCACATCTTTGAAAAAAAGAAAAAGTGCCGAGGAAAAACAAATCTATATGACACTTCATACCAAAAAATAAGATTTGACCTTTCTGAGCATAACATTTCAAACATTACAGAATAATTTATCATGACCTTTTAAAGATATGCAATCAGACAATCATTTTGATTGTGAAATTAGAGGAAATGGAAGGAGAGGAAGGAAACTGGCATATGTATGTCAGGGTGGGGTGACTACTGAGTAGAGACACAGTACTTGGCATATTCACATTTTACATTATGTTGGGGATTCTACCTTCACAAACATGGCACATACCAGCAATATTTACTCATTCATTCATTCAACAAGCATTAATTGAGTCTTGTTATGAAGCAGAAAATAGTATGATGTTTGCATCCACTTTACTTAATAGAAAGCTCTTTGACATAGTCTCATCTTTGCTCCTCACTGAAGAATTATGGAAAATGTTTATGATATAAGGTATCCTTCTGTATCTATCTCTGATTCTTCATCTGTAGAACAGGGATAATTATGGTACCGAAGTTATGATGCATGTGAAATGAGATAGATAATATCTGAAAAGTACTCAGTGTACAAAACAAATGCTCAGCAAATGTCTGTTAGTATGACTATGAATAGTTTTCTAGTGTGAAGGAGGCCACAGAATATAGATGGCCTAGTGGAACCAAGAATGGCCCATGATAGAGGGCAGTAGATAGATTTAATTGTATTCACAGTTTAGTTGTGATTAAGGAGAGAAACAAGGTAAGGAATAGGTATAATAGTTGGAATGATAAAAATACTGGTTTTTCTTTTTATTTTTTTCACCTTACATTGAGAAAGATGTATCTTCCCTACCTACAGATACTGATAATACAGGACCAAGGACAGAGACACCTATCAGGTATCACCTATGATAGCTGCCCCTAGAAACAGTGAAATTCACTTGGCTCAAGGTCGACCTCTTTACTCTGACAAGTATTCATTAAAACTTATCATATGCAAATTCAATATCTGGGGCAGAAAGGGCAGGGAAATTTGAAAGCCAAAATCAGGAGAAAGACTGGGGCTTAGCTCAATGGTAGAGCATCTTGCCTAGTACACATGAAGCCACGGTCTTCCAAGATGACTATATCCAGCAGGTTTCTGACAACCTCCACATTGGGTTGGGTTTGATTCCTAACACCAAAAAGAATCAAAAGCAAAAGCCAAACAAAACAAAACAACAAAACTTCCCAAAGCCAGAAGGATATTCCTAGTGTCAGCAGGAAAGGAAGACAATAGCTTGAGGTAGCAAGTTAATTTGTAGACCTTAGAAGATTGTTTGACTCTGGGGACCCATGTTATAGGCTATTTTGCTTCTCATAAAGCCCTCTCAATACATAAACAAGCAAGATGTCTCAATATTTCCTCAGTATTGTTTGAAATGAATACTTTTTCAGTTTTTAGGAATAATCTTACTTTGGGGAGGATTTGGAAGTTAATCATCTGGTCCCACCTCTTGGGGCCACACAGAAACTGATTCTCAGGTGAGAACTGCTTGCTTTTTGGATCTGCTTTTATAATTTTTGATTTGATAAGAAATAGTATAAGAGTGAAGAAGATAATAGATCAAAAGAGAGAGAATGTGTTTGTATGTACTCGTGTGTACATGCATGTGTCTGTATGTGTGTGCATCTATTTTTTGTTATTGTTAGTATGTGTGGTTGGTACTAGGAATTGAATCCAGGGCCCCACATACTAAGCTATATCCCTAAATCTTTTCTAAAAAATTTATTTTGAGATAGGATCTCATTAAGTTGCCCAGGCTGGCCTTAAACTTGTGATCCTCCTATTTTATCTTCTTAGTAGCTGGGATCACAGGCATGTGCCACTTTGCCCAGCTCAAAAGAGTACATATTCTTAAGAAAATATGGCAAATAGACAGAAATAAAAAAATCTGACATTACAGAAAGGTCTTGACTTAGTCGCTGTAAGGACATTACTGTGATACAATCAGGTACAGTATGCCTCTAAAATGTGAAAATATCACCAAACACCTATGAAACAGTAAATAAAATTGTGTGTGTGTATTTCATCAGGTAATCATAATTCTCATCTTCATCTTTCTGTAATTATTAACACCAAGAACTTCTTTTATCTATCATATGAATGATTTTGACACTTGGATTGTATCCAAATGTATGAAAAGGGGCATAATCTCTGAAAGGGTGAAAGATAATGAAAAAGTTCTCTGACCTGGAGAATAGCACTTGAAGTAAATCCGAGAAACAAATCAGCCCCAAATGCCAGTTTGAACTTTATATAAATATCTAGTTCTCTTAGGATAGACTCCTTTTCAAGAAAAAAAAAACATACAACTATTTAATCTTAATGACAATGATAGGAGATTTTGAGCAAACAATTTTGGAATTTTGCCTTTTCATTTTTAAGAAGTAAAATTTAACAGTTATGGTTAATGCTCTCTTTGTGTCCCCAATTATATTCTCTCCTTCTTCACAGTCTATGATCCTGAATAGGGCATTTATCATCCCAATGAATTTTGTATTTCATATATATGTCTACATGCATGTATATGTATATATATGTATGAATATGTATATGAATGAATGTGTATACATGTTTTTTACATATGCATAAAATCTCCAAAACTACCTGGAGTTGTTTTATATGTTCTCTATCTTTATAAATATGGTTCTGAATAAATCACTGTTCATCTTTTAATCAAAGCAGTATATTTAGCATAGTTCTCATTTTTCGCCATTACAAACAGTACTATAATGAATTTTCTTGTATATATATCCTGGTGAATTTCTGAAAGTGTTGTGCTCTCTAAAATATCTACTCCAATTTGCATTCTCATTACTAACATATGAGAAACCCTGTTTGTCCATATCCTTGTCACACCTTGTTTTGTCAGACTTGTTAACTTTTGCCAGTCTAATTGGAATACAGTTGTGCTGTATTATAAATTTAATTTGCATTTCCTAATTGAGGGGGAACGTTTGGATGGCTATTTCTTTCTTCTGCTGTGAATAACCTTTTTGTACTATTTACTGATTTTGGAACTTGGCTATTTATCTTTTTCTTACTGGAATTCTTTATACCTTCTGGATACTAACTCTTGGTCTTGCAAATGTCATCTCTCTTTGTGCAACTAATCTAATCTAATCAACCCATCTTTTAGCTTTTCTTCAGCTCTTCCATTAGAAATAAGTTCATAATCTGAACGATGAAATTAGTAGCTTTTTTAGTATTAGATTTCTTCATATATTTTAGAATCTTTGCTTTAAGTGGATTTTAAATTTGTTTGTTATTCTTTCCTTTTTCTTTCTTTACCCTTCTATTTGTTTATACTTGGCTCCCTGTCTATTATAAGAATCTGGTCTTAGAAAGACTTTTGCAAGCCCTATCTGCAGTGATACCAGGGATACTGTAATTATTGTCATTCATCCAGTAGATAGCTTCCCAGTCCTGCAACTTGGCTTTTGTCCTGTTCCCGCCACTTCTCTATAGATTCCTCTAAGGCTATAGACTCACATTGAGGAAAAGAATATC